GGGCGATGCAGTTCAGCTTTTGCTGGAACCGCTTTCGGCATTGCCGGGACACAAAACTTCGGTCTATCCTTTGGAATGACCTCCCATTTTGACACAGTAGGCTCACCTGAGGGGCTAGGGTTTACCCGAAGCTTTCTTGCAGTTGCGACGCACCTTTCTTCTTCTTCGGACCCTTTGATGGTGAGCTTGATGCAGCACCGCCGCTGCCAACAGCCATCTTTTCAGCCTCCTCCTCAACGAGCTTTTGCCTATCCTTCGGACTATAGTGACTAAGCATTTTCCAAAAATCCGATGGGATCGACTCAGGGCGTTTTGACCCTTTGTACGTTTTCACAAGGCGTGTACCGTCCCAATGATAACCATCCGGGATTGGTGTTCCAGTTGGAGTGTACTTGATATCAGGGAAAACTGTTTCCTCAGCCGGCCTTTCATCACTGGCAAGTGCGTCAAGCACTGCCTCCGTTGACTTGTCAATTGCTTCTTCACTTGCTTCTGCATGTTCCTCTGTTTGCAGTTCAGATTGAAACGGAATCGGACGAGGATCAGCAATGACATTGTCAGCAAGACGGTCCGGCTTGGGCTCTTTGGCCTCTTTCAATGCACGGAGTGGGAAGACAAAACCTCCCGCGATGAGCTCGACACGTCGTGCTCGCTGCACTGTGATGCTGCCCGTTTCTGCATGATAATCCAATGCTTCTAACTTGGCAACAAGATACTCACCCTTCCATGCAAAACCAGGTTGAATATGGTATCCCAAAAAGATTCCATCATTTGCAGTTGGTGATGTCTTTCCAGATGTGTTGTCAAATTTTTTTGGCTTGTTCCAAAACAGTATCTTTGCACCGAAAGGAATCAACTGACCTGGAAAATCTTCTTCGAATCGGAGTTTCCATGGGGCATCATCACCATTGAGCTGTGGCGTGGCATTCACTGCCATGGAGAAATGCTGCATAGCCATTGGCCAATACTGCAATGGAAGACCGGACTGCACAAGGTTTGTGCGTGTGCCTTCAAGCATGTGCCTGATCTCCCTCTCCACAAACGACTTTGAACTGTCCACATACTCTGTTGACGTTTGATGTCTGTACCCCAACTCTGAAATTGTAGCAATAAGTTCTCGTGAATTGTCAGTGTAAACTGCCCCAACTTCATCCTTGTGAGATAAGAAGTGGTTGAAAGCATTGACACATGACTCACTCGATTTGGTCTGACTTGGATAAACGTGCCTGAACTGAGTGTGGATGTCCTTCATCACCAATGCCACTGTTTCACCTTTGACGCCTTCTTCCACATTGGATTTGATTACAGTGTGGTCAGCGACAATGTGATCCCCAAAACTTTTGGTTTCCAATCTTTTCTGTCCCCCTTTCTTCTTTGCGGGTGGCGCCATCATGCGCACCTTCTGACAGATCTTGCAAAATGGATTCTTGGGGTAATGGCAAAATTGGTGAGATTTGCTGCATGCCTCTTGCTCAAGGTCGGATGCCTTTCTAGACCTGATGTAATCGGTTTCACTATCATGAGCTACTCCCTCATCCACGCCTTCTTCATCGGCACCTTCTGCTTTTGCAGCAACCATTGCAAAAAGACGTAACAAATCACAATCTTTCTTGAACTGTCCACTGTTCAGAACACGACAAGAGCTATCAATAACTGGCACACGGCCGTCTACGTTAAGCTCGATGACTCCCATATCCGGACGAATGAAGTAAGGCCTACCATCAGCCGGCCAAACAAAGCTGTATCCCTGTTCCATACATCTTACCCCGACCGAAAGAACAGCAGGAGTTTCCTCAAGAATGTATGGTGAGAACGGCTGGTGCAGGGCATCGACCTTTACGTCGGCCACCTCATCCGCACGTGTCGAACCGTTGGCTGTTGCAAGACTGATTGGAGTGTCGCTGACACGGCGATTTGTTGCCTTTGCAGTCTTCAACATGCCTTCACTGATCAGGTCCTGTTCACTACCGGTATCAACCAACCAAACACATCCATCTTTTGAAGCAGGAGTGGCAACAGTTGGCAAATGAGTGTTACTGAGTTTGTTCTTTGGACCGATCAGAGCTCTGCAGTGGTTACATGAGACTCCGCCTTCGGGGTCATTGCATCGGAAACGGCATTTGGGCTGCACGTCGTTGCCGAAGAGCTTCACAAGTTCCTGCAACTGTCTGGCCGAAACCTGAGCACGGTGAGCAGTGAGCTTTTCTGGCTTTGGCACTGACTCTGAATCGGGGAACGTCTTTTCATAGATTCGGGGTTTGTGCACTACCTTTCTCTGTTCACCTGTTGCAGGTACTTTGATGTATTCCACTTTTGATGAAAATACAACAGCTCTGTGGCATTGTTCTTTCATGGCCTTTGTAGCCTTTGGCAACCCTTTTCCCTTTGCTATGCATGCATACCTTTGAGTAATGCATGGCGCAGCTTTTGCACTGGCCTTCTTCTTTGGTGCAGGGCTATTAGTGCGCTTTGGATCCTTTGTGGGTGCAGCTGCAATTTCATGTTTGTAGAAACACTTGTCACCACGACGACATTTGCCCTGTTGGAAGTAAGTGCATGGGATTTTGGCCATCTCTTCCCTTGACTTTCTGTTAGGGGAACCACTTCTGCTACCGCCTTTGCCCTTACCCTTCTTTTTGGGAGTGCCAGATCTTGAGGAATCCTTGACATGCTTGTAGGGACAGTCTTTACCCTTTTCGCACTTGCCATCCCTGAACTTGTAACATATCTTATCCCCTTTTCCACTCTGGCTTCGACCACGGGATCGACCTCGATCACCTTTTCCTTTGCCGCGATCTTTGCCCCCCTGAGGGGGTGCAGCGGGCTGAGGCTTTTCGGTCTGTTTGTTCTTTTCAACGATTCTGTTTCTGTTTGAACGGAGTCTTTCTCAATAAGACTTCTGTTCCGACTTTTCAGGAGCTCTGTCGAATGCTTCAATGTCATACTTCATCAATTGGCATTTTCGGATTTGTCTAAGTAAGATGTCTCTGAGAACCAAGTCATCTGGCGGGGTTTCCATGCCGGCAATTGTGGCGTCCCATCGGTTCAGAAACCTTCTAAGGTCCTCCACAGATTCTCCAGTGCGAACGACTCCAAGTAGGTCCTCGACGCGATAGAGACTGCCAGCTTCCTCAGACGTCCTGAAGTAGTCTTCAAACATCAAAAGGACTCTCCTACCTCTAACTTGGATCCCTTTCTTTGACTTCTCATCTTTGAAGTTGTGGATCTTCGTTGCTAAATCACCTTTGGCCGAGCGAGTTAACGCTGCCGACAACTTGGTATCGAGTGTGATGAATTTCCCAGGTTCCTGCAGCTTTTCCTCCAACTTTTCCCTAGGAGTTTTGTTGTCAAAGACTTCATTGAGCCAAAGCCAAGCCTCATCGGGTTTATCGGAGCACGACTTGACTTCATCCCTGACATGATTACGCCAGTGACGGTACGCTTCCGGGGCAGGCATGTCGTTCAGTTTGATAGTCTCTGCCTCTTTTGTTCGGGGCTTTTCACCATCTGAATCCTTTGAAGTCAGTCTAGTGATGAGATCTAGCAATTGTTGACCTGAAAGACCTAAGCCTGCATCAGCAGCTTTCTTGCCGGTGTCGCTTGCTATTGCTGTAGGACTGGGCACACTTTGTTCTTGGTTTGCATCATCATCGTTTTGTCTTTGAACTGGCAATGGTGGCAGTTTTGGAGGTGCTGCTGATCCGGCAGGGGTTGTTGAGAATAAGTTGCTCAATCTTTCTTTAGCGTCCATGGCTAAGCTGCTCATACCAGTGTTTGGCATGGGTTCTGCTCCAGCCTTGGTACCGACCGCTGATTTTGGGGTCAAGTACAAATCGACATTGTTCCCGCCTTGTGCATCATCAACTTCGACGGCTCTGTCGACCTTGATTTCAGGGGCGCTATACTTGTTGAGCTTCTCCATCAAATCCTCCACTTGTCCCTGCAGTTGATAGTTGAGTTCAGCAGCTTGGTTTTCCTGCCTCCTGCATTCCTCTCTGATCTCCTGGATTACAGCTTGTTCCTCCTTCTTGAAACCTTCCATGCCATTCTTTGCATACTCCACTGTTTCGTCCACGATTCGTTTACAGTCTGCCTCAAGGCTACCTCTGAGTTCAGAAAACCTTTGTTCATACTGGGCTGTAACATGGGCTACCTTTTGGTTTGCTCTTTGCTCAGCTTCCAGTGCAACTGCATTTGCAGCGTTCTTCAGCTTTGCGTTTGCATCGCTAAGTTCCTGTCTCAGTTTTGCGACCTCATGCTCAGTTGCCGTTTGGGACATTGAATACTCTGACACTAGGTGTTCATGTCTACGATCAGCTTCTGCACGTTGATGGGCGATTTCACTAAGGCAAATTCCCTCAAACTCTTGATACAGTTGCTGGACCTTTTGTTCCATGAGATGTGTGTGTCTCTCTTCTGCCTCTTGTCTGAAAGCGTCAATGTTACCTTCATTGATGTAGGTAAGATTGTTCTGCACGAACTGAAAATATGCCTGGACGGGCTGTGTGAAGAAACCTTCATCCACTGACATGGGCGTGGGAGTTGCCCCAGCCGTCACAGGCTGAGATCCAGTTGCTGCAGTCGCCATTGTTCCTGTCGAAGGCACAAGAGCACCACCACCTGTAGCATCGTGTGTTTTGTCCATGGCTTTAGAGACTACGGCTGATAACCTGTATTTTCAGGTTTCAGCGGGGTAAACTATGTTATACCCAAATGGACTGATAAACCTATGAACAATGGGAAACAACCGTTAAGCAACTGCGGCCCGGACTCTTTTTACTCGAGCCGCATCAGCTGTAAGATACATCTATATTACATGGGTTTTGTAGTGGAGTGCAAATACAGATGCATATTTTTTACGCGGGATTAACCTCCCCAAGTGCACAGTCATCTGAAATAATTCAAATCATTTCAATTTGGATTGATAAAGTCCATTCCCATTATCCATCATTATCCCATTCTGGCACATGAAATTATATGAAATTCCATCCATGTCGCGCCTGTCTCTCCATGGCCTCCTTGTCATTGATTGCATCATTCAATTGGTTGTCCAATTGCGCACACTCCGCCTGAATTCAGTGAAAAAAACATCTGCAAACCGCCCAAGAAAAGTGTTTGTTAAAGGATTGATGGGATGTTCAATGGGATAAAAACAAAAGTTGAGATTGGACCATTGAATCGGCGAAAGCTGGTGCTTTGTCAACTGAAACTGCAAAGGTTCATCCGATTTTCCGATTCCGAGCCTCAACGGCTTCCACTCTCTTCTCCACCTACAGGGATGCTGCCAAAATCCCAAACATGTTAAGAATTTGATGAGTTGGATGAATTTTGAAGAACATAATTTTATGAGAATCATCATGAACGGGATGATCCGATGCCTCAGAATATTTTTCAATTTTTATCTCAAAAAAAAGACATCTCCGGAGCCTCCCGCAGCTGCAACTTGGCATTTTCCGTGGTCTCCTGCGCCACCTTCACCTTTTCGATCAGCGGGGCCACCTTGCCGCCCAAATCCAGGGATTTCTGGTGCCCAAATCTTGGCAAAAAAATGAGGTTAAACATCTTCGCTGCAACCTGGACGTTTGCCCGGAGTTGATGTCCCGCAATCAACGTAGTGTTCAGAGGGGGGGGCTAATTTTGATCCCTCATGAAGATAAAGTTGATGTTGTTAGCCCGTTCAGCATATTGGTCATAGGGGGTGGCGGATTTTGTTCCTTCATGAAGATAATGTTGATGTAATTACAAGATTCAACATTGGCCATAGAGGGTGGCGTGTTGTTAGCCTGTTCAGCATATTGGTCATAGGCGGTGGCGGATTTTGATCCCTCATGATGGTCAGGTGATATGTTTTGATCATGAAGATAACTGTATTCAAGGTATCTTTCACATGCCACCGTGGCCTAATTTTCCCCCTTGGCCTTGCTTGGATTCTTCCCATCAACACAGAATTGTCTCTGTTATGTCACAATGATGAGTCTGGGCGAACGTTAAGGTTGCGGACAACATCTTCAAACTACTTGGGGGAGACACCTTGCCCACAGAGGGTATATATGTATGCCCCAAATCTAGTGTGGATCAACATATTCACATTGCCGTAATGGAATGCAATGGGCATTTTTGGGGGGAATGCCCCATGTTCAGGCACACAGCCGTCTTTAATTTTCGCGCATCTCTTGGTACGTGGTGGTTTCACAAGTGGAACTGCTGGACTGAAGTTGTACTGAAACTGTCCTTTCCATGGATTCCCCTGGCAACTTGGCAGTGGAAGATCAGAATGTCTTGGGGGTGATGTTCTCATGAGTTTCCAATGAAAATGGGGATTCCTTGGCCAAGTGTCACCAGGAAATTGTCAACAAAGGCTGGAACTGCTTTCCGTGTCAACATCAACATCATCTCTAACTCTACAGCGGCTCAGCTGTCAGCTATAGCGCCTTCCCTCTGATACACACTCTTGCTGTTTGAAGCTTGGTGATGTTTCTTTGAAATTCTATGAAATCACCAGTGAATTCCTCAAGTTCGGTTTAAGTCCCGATTTTGGATGGTGAAATCCTTTCCTGATGAAAGTGAGTAGAGGGAAGGCCCCTGTGATGCTGGACAGCTGCTCACAACTGCAAGATCTTCAAGGCTTGACTACTACGCGACATAGCTCGTGGTAGTTTCACAAGTGGAACTGCTGGACTGAAGTTGTACTGAAACTGTCCTTTCCATGGATTCCCCTGGCAACTTGGCAGTGGAAGATCAGAATGTTTTGGAGGTGATGTTCTCATGAGTTTCCAATGAAAATGGGGATTCCTTGGCCAAGTGTCACCAGGAAATTGTCAACACAGGCTGGAACTGCTTTCCGTGTCAACATCAACATTATCTGCTGTCAGCTATAGCGCCTTCCCTCTGATACACACTCTTGCTGTTTGAAGCTTGGTGATGTTTCTTTGAAATTCTATGAAATCACCAGTGAATTCCTCAAGTTCGGTTTAAGTCCCGATTTTGGATGGTGAAATCCTTTCCTGATGAAAGTGAGTAGAGGGAAGGCCCCTGTGATGCTGGACAGCTGCTCACAACTGCAAGCTCAGGGATGACGCCCAGACTCCGTGTCGGGCGTCACAACAAGACCCGATAAAATCACAACTGCCGTCAGATTGCTGGGCTGTAGACCATGAACATAGTAGAATAAGGTATTGAACTCACACGAAAGCTCACTCGCTTCAACACCAGCGATGCAATTGACTGTGCTTTGCAGGGAACGAGGGGACTGGAAGAAGTGAACCTACCGGAGCACCAGAATATACAGAATTGTGGAAGTTGCTTGCGGGAAAAACAAAAAGTTTGTTGTTTAAACATACGCAAGTTACATCGATTTATAAACTCAATCAAATCGATGGTTTTCCTCCCATGTTCCACTACGCCAAACGTTTGACTCAAGATCGGAGGAATCCTAAAGCTTGAGTGGCGCCACCATTGATGGCTCCGCCAAGAAAGCACGAACTTTGTGGCGGTGGTTCTCCTATGTAGCCAGTTGTTCCTCAAAATGAAAGCTAACCCCTCCATTGGTGGGGAAAGGACATCTATGATTCAAATGTTTGCCGCACATGAGGCAGTTCGGCACCTAATTTGGGTCCAGCATGGTTTGTCTTTCAGCAACATCCAGCTTGTAGTTGCTTGGGGCTGTCACCTATAATCCACACGATCGTATAAGGCCTTGAGCATGGAACTTAAACATGTCACAGTTATAAGGCTGATTCATCTATTGAAATTGACACTTCTCCAAAGATGCTGCCCTTCAGTGCTGTTGGACGGTTCTCTAGCAATTGCCAATGCTATCCAGCTAGCCAGCAAACATCCATGATTCTGCAAACTCAAGTATGTGTATATATATATATAATAAATTTATTTATTAACATATGCAGCTATTATATAGATAATATATTACATTATATACATGAATAATAAATATATCAATATATATATATATTATATTAAGTTATATCATGTTATATAAAATTAAGTTATATTATATTAAATTATATTCAATTGTATTCCATTATATTGAATTATGGAACATCATAATATGTATATATATATACTGAATATTATTATAGATGTTATACTATAACAGTTATAATTATTTTTTTTATAATACAATAAATATGATATATACACTTACTCGAAGTGCAACTGGCAGTGGTTCGGAGGCACTTCTTCCAACCACAGAAAAAGTGGCACCAGTCCTCTCTGCGCATTGAGAGTGCTGATCAGTCCCGACTATGGCAGACACAGGTTGATGAATTCTGATATCTTTTTAGATTGCGAATTACGTGACTGGGTGGCCGGGTGGTGACGACTCTCTCTCTCTCTCTTTGTTCGACTTTGTACCCAGTAAACCCAGTTTTGATCCATATCTGTCAGTCAACATCTCAGGACAGATACGCGAAAACCAATAGATTGCATCATATTACAATATGTTTGAAAGACTGGGCTGTAATTCTTTGTAAATCACTATATAACATGTGTACATAAACAACTCTACACATGCACATATATATATAATTATATACGTATATTATATACCCCGGGGCAAACTAACATAGATGTGGAAATCGCCATTTTGAAAGATCATCCACCCATAAATGTGCAATTTTCAACATCTATGTAAGTTATTGGCTTATTGGTAGTTTACCCTGGGATCCCTGGGGTACTCATGTGTTGATGCATGTCGAACTTTGGTTCTACTTAACCCCCCGCCATTGGCCGTTGATAGGCCATCATTGTGGGGAAGGGTCAAAATTAGATCTCCAATGACCCACAAAATACTGATCAACTTTTAGTATGATACCGTTCCTTTGGTGGGATCATATTCATCATAATTTCGACCCGTAGCCCGTAGCCATGCGGCAGGAACGAGCGTAACTAGCAACCTTTGCGGCCGACATTGATTAGTTGCCGTTGCCTAACAACCGAAGTTGCTCTGTGGGGGAAGTCGCTATCGCAGTCAAATGCTTTCCTGGGACGAGTCTTCTGGTGATCAAACAGATCACACCATAGGAATCTGACCAACAAACATATGCACTGGTTGGTGGTTTCAACCCCTCTGAAAAATATTAGTCGGTTGGGATTACTATTCCCAATATATGGGAAAAATGTTCCAAACCACCAACTAGATTGGTTAAAGACAAATTGAAATTTGCCCAACAAAACTTAAAAGGATATAACGGAGACAACAAACCGATTTTGGATCGCAAAATGAAAGTTGGAAACAGAATCATTACAAGTACACGGGGAATCTTCCAGCATGCCATATTTCTTTAAGAGAGGGTATAGTTGTTGCATATTGTTGCATCATATTGCAGTACACTCAACAGAAAGATCGAAACAATTTAATGTGTCGTCCTGATTTGTGTGTCCCCCCCTCCCCAAAACCATAGCTATACCCTCTTTAAAGTTGGGTGCCAAAAAGTTGTTACCCAGAAAAAAGAACCGCACTCAAGGATTTCAATTGGCTACAATTGAAATCAAATTATATAAAACGTTCTTTTGGTTGATGAACTTGTGATATTTGTAGTACTTGTAGCACTTGTAGTACTTTTAGTGAGTGGGGTTCAGCATGTTGATTGCGTTACCTTTTCCACCATAAGTTTTGTTTTAACGAAAAAGTAGTAAGAGGAAGAGAAAGAAAAAGAGCAAGGGAACGAGAGAAAGAGAAAGAGAGAGAGAGAGAGAGACGAAGAGGAAAAAGAAGAGGAAGAGGAAGATTAAGAGGAACAGAGAGAGAGAGAGAGAGGAAAAGAAAGAGAAAGAGAAGGAAAAGAGAAAGAAAAAGAGAAGAGAAAGAAAAGGATGCTTTTGGAAAAGGCCTACCTTTCTTCTCTTGGCTCCAGGATCGGCTCTGGACAGGTTTGCTGCAATTGTGAACCCTGAGAAAAACTTGCAATAGTGAACTGGGCCCTCTCATGGCCCAGTGCCTTGGAAATTTGTGGAAAAACTGTTCTTTAATTAAGAGCTTAATAAGCGGTCTGATTCCTTTGGGACAGGGAGACAAGCAAGATTTTTTCCAGAAAGAATGTTCAGATGTTTTTAAACGAACATTTTTTTGACAAAAAAATGGTCTCCCAAAAATTCTTGCCACAATAGCGAACCTACCAAACAATGCATGGGTTCAGAATAATTTGGATTTGTTTTTGGCACAATAGCGAACCTAGACACTAATTAATAATTAATCAGGATACAACATATTCAAATATTTGAACATATTTGAAACGCTGGGATGTGGATGTCTTCCGATGTCCATGTCCATCATGACCAATGGTTCCAATGGTCCCATTCCATTCCTCCCTGAAATCAGCTCCCAGATGCTGATCAGCTCTCGGACATAATGCTCCTTCTGTGCCTCCTCCTGAAGATGCTCGTGCACTTCATAGAGATTTGCTGCATTGAAATACTTGGCCAGGCGTCTCTGGATGCGCTTGCGTGCCGTGCCACGGCGTGTCTTCGTTCTCGGAAGTCTCACCTGATCCGCATGGATGGAGTGAGAGAAATTGCAGAACTGGCCCTTAGCACATCTGGTGAGGTACGAATGGAAGAGGCACGGAAACTCTCTGTGATCTTGAACATCTTGATGATAATCTTGATCAGCAACCTCCTGAGGGGTTGGATCTGGAAGGTCCTCCTGAATCACGGGTTCCGTCTCCTCATCTGATCCAGAGTGTCCAGACTGCCCCGACGACTGCATGGATTCCCTCTCGGATGAGAGATCCCAAAGACTCTCGTTCACATGTAGGACCCATCCTCCAGGACTGACAGCGAGCAATATCCAATCTTTCTGAATTATGATGTTTCATCAACCTGAATCTAGGATCCAAATTCATCAATGATTTCAGGTATTGTGAATTCAGTTTTTTTATGCCCAATATCTCTCGCGAATCATGATTCTGTGGCTTTCCGGTGGCAGTACTTGTCATATCTTGTCATCATAAATCTTCTGGTGAGGTTTCTGCCGGAAACTTCCTACAGCCGGGCCCACTGACTTGTCAAGCCAAGCCATTCGTAATAAATGAATCACTGGGGGAGAATCATCCCAAAAACTGAGGTGGACGTAGCCATTGGTGTAATAGAGATACTGAGGATCCATTCTTTTGACATTTTGACGTTTTGACCAAATGTCCATACCCAAAAAAGCAGACTAGCTTGCAGGTGCCAAAAATCTTTGTGACCTCTGATTATTTAGTAAGGAATCCACATGATCATGGAAACCTATGGGTAACCCCCAGAGTCATCACCCACAAAAGAAGTAAAATATGAGTGGTGATGATCACCGCAGCGAGGATCGAAAGTCAAATGCTTACGACCACCTAAGAGTCTCTGATACGCTCCGATAACGTGGCAATTGACAAATCCACCATTTAATTTAGTTCCTTGATGTTCCTATAAAAACCTTCATTTTTAGGGGATTCCAATTACCATGTTTGATTACTGGAGGGTACTTCCCATGTTTGCATCATTACATATCTCTCACCCCTCGCCTGTGAATGTAGAAGCTGGTGAAGCTGATTCGCTTCCGTTCGGATCCACCACTGAACGACTAGCTTCGGACATCAAGAATTACCTTGGGAATGGCTCGACATGAATTGATTGCCACAGAAAGCGGATAGTTGCACACTAAACATGATCAAAAATGAAGGATCGAAGGATGTTTGGGTTGTAAATAGTTACAAGAATAGACAAAAAAACAAAAATAATGAAATCTGTGGGCCCATTGGTGCCCATAGCTATTTGAAACACTCACCATCTGAAAACGCCCTCGCATCCTGAAACGAATGACTCTCAGCAAGTGACCAATTGTCAGTAAAGAAGAATGTTTTCTGGAATAATTTGCTGTAGAGTCGAGAAACTGACAAACATGTTGTGAGTTGGAGTTGGGCACTTTGGTTCTCATTTTTCGCAAATGGATGTGAACATTATGCGGTTTTGGACAGGGAGAGAGATAGAGAGGCCCATTGTATCATTTGTCGAGCAGTTTCAGATAATTTTGTGTTGATTCTATGGCTGGGAGCACGGTAGCACTGGCATCCCAAAGGACTATCCGACGATCCCATGAAGGGGCACTCACCACGACCAGAGGTCAGGCCCAGCCGTGGCACGCTTGTCTCGCTTCTTTCTCCTCAAAATGCTCTCGAACTATCTGGAACTACCGGCCGCGCACGAGCCAAAGCGTGACGGTCGGTCCAATAGCCAGAGTTCGGGTGACAGCAAAGCTCAGATTCTGTTGCTGAAACATCTCGTATAGTCTTATTGGACATTATATTATATATTATCTGGTTGGTGGTTGACCTACCCCTCTTTAAAAAAAATCGTCAGTTGGGATGATTATTCCCGATACATGTAAAAATAAAACATGTTCTAAACCACCAAACAGATTATATGTATGTATATATTATATTATATATATAGGTGATTATAGGTGTTGCTCAAGATCGGTGTAGCCATAGATGCCATAGCCCAAACCCGCAGGGTTCACCATTACCGACCAACGGTTCTGTATCCGACCCAGGCCCATTGCAATTGTCAGGAATGAAGTGGTGACAATTGATATCCCCCGTACATAAGATGTATATGTATATAATTAAGTTAAAAAAATACTTTACTTCGAGTGATCCCCGCCCTGGCATTTCAAGTCATATATTCTGACATATATTTTGACCTTTTACCTAACATTCTATCTAACATCTATTCTGATATTCTATCTGGCATATCTTCTAGCATTTTACCTGGTATATATTTTGGCGTTCTATCTGGCATATATTCTGGCATTCTATGTGGCATTCTTTCTCGCATATCTGGCATTCTATGTGGCATATATTCTGGCATTCCATCTGGCCGCTGAGGTCCAGCGGTGCCCACTGAGCTCGGAAGGTCCCAGGTTGAGGTCCAGCGGTGCCCACTGGCCTCGGAAGGTCCCTGGTTGAGGTCCAGCGGTGCCCACTGCGCTCAGAACCTTGTGGTTGAGGCCCAGCCGTGCCCACTCAGATCGGAAGCCGGCAGTTGAGGTCCAGCAGTGCCCACTGCGCGCGGAAGTTGGCGAAGAGATTGGCGAAGAGTTGGCAAGGCGGAAGTGGGCGTGGAAGTGGAGGCAGAGGTGGTGGAGGAGAAGGAGGAGGACGAGGAGGGGGTGGAGGAGAAGGAGGAGGAGGAGCCGGAACAGCTGTGATAACATCTAACAACCCTCACCTGGCAGGTGGGGAATAAATATTATATATATGAATATATTTGCGTCTTCATCGCCAAACCAAGTAATCTGATGTAATCTGGCCTTACCAGTCCCAGTATGTCCCAGTCTCGCCTTAGACCTCAGTTAACCGAGGCTGGGTGTCTCGAAGCGGCCAATGGTGCGGTTGAACGTCCGAAAGTGGTCCGAACGTGGTGTGCTTTTCACATTTTGACTTCGGCGTGTGCTTCGCGCCGCAATAGCGTGCACTTTTTCGACATCTTAACTTCAAAAAGTGCTCCGAGACCGCTAGTTTTTAACACTTTTGACCTGCGAATGTGCTTCGTGCCAAAACGGCGTGCACTTTTTCGACATCTGAACTTTGAAAAGTGCCCTGAGACCTGAGGCGCTTTGCGCATTTTCACTTCGAAATGTGCTTCGCGCCACAACGACGTGCACTTTTTGAACATCGCAACTTCCAAAAGTGCTCCGATGTTTTTTTCACATTTTGACTTCGAAATGTGCTTCGCGCCGCAACCACGTGTAGATTTTGGACATTTCAACTTCCAAAAGTGCTCCGAACATGGTGTTTTTTGCACATGTTGACTTGGAAACATGCTTCGCGCCACAGCGGTGTGCACTTTTTCGACATCTGAATCTGAACTTCCAGAAGTGCTCCTGACGTCACATGTGCTTCGTGCCACAACGGCGTACAATTTAGCGAGCGTACTTTTCGACCCTCCGGAGCCACAAAACATTGTAAAACAGTGTTTCGCGACTTTTCTACCTTTTCGCGCACCTGCATCTTCTTTCTACTGATTTTTTCTCTTCTCTGACTCTTCACACCTCTGCTTTTCCATCTGTCCAAAGTGTCGGAAGTTTGACTTCTAAACTTCCTTCAAATAGTTTATTTGTTTGGGAGAGATGCCTTAAAGCATCTTCGCTGCAACCTGGACGTTTGCCCGGAGTTGATGTCCCGCAACCAACGTATTGTTCAGAGGGGGTGGCTAATTTTGATCCCTCATGATGATAAAGTTGATGTTGTTAGCCCATTCAGCATATTGGCCATAGGCGGTGGCGGATTTTGATCCCTCATGATGGTCGGGTGATATGTTTTGATCATGAAGATAACTGTATTCAAGGTATCTTTCACATGCCACCGTGGCCTAATTTCCCCCCTTGGCCTTGCTTGGATTCGCAACTTCCCATCAACACAGAATTGTCTCTGTTATGTCACAATGATGAGTCTGGGCGAACGTTAAGGTTGCGGACAACATCTTCAAATCTGTTTCAAAGGGTGATCCCAAAATATCCCTACCCTGATGAATTTGCTTCGAATACCTAATTTTCAAGCTCAGAGGAATTCTTGGAAAGCATCACTGCAATGGCGCAACTGCAATCTGCCTTGGTGTAGATCTTGTTGTAGGTGACAATGTTCACCACCTGCGCGGGTTGCGTTCCCGGAACGGCCCGGAACGGCCGATCAGAGCGGAGGCAGAACCGCTCCGACACGCTCCGAGTGCGGGACCCAATTGGTGAGGTGAGCTGCCGCCAGGCTCTTGCTCTTCATCGACTCGAAATTCAGATTACCTCGGCTCTGCTCAGCTGGGTTCACAACTGGGATTGATGTGAAACACGACCTCCAAATATCAATATCTGCAGTTTCCAAACCACCTCCAGTACCACAATATCTGCCAAAATATGCCAAAATGATCTTGAAAATCTCTTTAAAAAAATAAATCACCAGAAATTTACCACCAAATACTGGTGGCACAATTTCAACCCAGTCACCGATCAAGGGTTCCGTGTTTGCCAAGACCTGCGGCCGCAAGATGCAAAACATATATATGATCTGTTTCAACAGTTTCCACACTTTTGATGGTTTCGTTGATTTAGTTTCCATCACCCTGACTTCTTCTGGAAAACAAAGCATCTGCGACATCTGAAACCGGCCTGCTCCGGGATATGTTCAGCATCAAAGTTCTTCACGTCATCAATGAACCTCAGTTCATCCATGGAACGTCACAATCCTAATATTCCATTGTTCTGAAAGGTGGATGCCCAAATTCCAGTGATTCACCTTGCGGATGGGACCCCCTCTGAGCGAAAGAACTGTTGAGGTGACTTCATCATCAGTTGGCACTCCTTCCAGCCAAGCTTTCGCTTCTCCTGGGCCCAGGATTTGTGAATCCAACGTTATCTCTGCATCCCCAATATCTCCAAGCCCATCTGATGTTAATCCCATCTACATCGCCATGTTCCCCGTTTTCCATCTTTTTCCCAACCCTTTACCCACGTGAGTTTTCCCCACACCCATCCTCACGTGCACATACGTGCACTGCTCAGCAGCTCAGCACGCCCGTATACGCCCGTCCTGTCGTAGTAGGAAACCACAGGCGGCCACCACATCGATGCATTCCTGCGCGGGTTTGCCGAAGGTCTTCAGCTCAGTGATGGAGGCCTCACCGTGACAAGCCGTGACCCAAGATGACCCAAGCACCGTGCAGAAGCTAAAATCAGCAGGAGGCCTGTTTTTCTCGGCTGTTCATCTCAAAATCTATCAGCAATCCTTGCTACATCTTGCTACGAAACAAGACATATGTTTGTCTTTACCACCAAACAGATCAAAATTATCCAAACATTTATTGCTGAGATTTATGGTGACGTCAGGAAAAGAATCGCAAAAAAAAAAAATCGCCTTGTCGAGGCAGTCCACAGCCGCTTTAGCCTGCGAAGAGCTATGAGATGTTCACCGAAAAAATGGAACTTCAAGGGTGAATATAAGGCCTATGAATGACCCATAGATGATGTATTTTGATTATATCACTCGTCAATTTCATGGGAGTTTACATTAGAAGTAAAGACATGCTTTGCGTCATGTTTAGCGGATTCATACAATTGAGTGTCACTGTGCAACTTGTCGGATATCAGAGAGCCTTCCCAAGTATGTTGCAACGGTAGCTTTTGATGTAATCAGATCTCACAGCACAGAAAATCGGGCACTTGCTGGTTGGATGTCCCAAAGATCCGGAGAACTGCCAGTTGGATTTTTTGATCGTGCATGGATGTGCGCTTGAAAAGGGATCGGCGGTACCTGCTTCATCCTGCTTCCATGGTTGTTTCTCTTTGCATTTGACGGATACATGATACATACGTATACCGTATACCGCATACTATATATCCTATATGAATGATACATCATATTTCACTGCGACTCACCAAAACACAGCCCATCGCTGAGCCTTCTCCATAGCCGGTAGCGCTTCTTCCAGCTCATTGTCTGCCTGACCCAACTGCTCTACTGTTTATCCTTCAGTTTGCGTCTAAAGCTGGCATGGAAATCATATCCTGAAGTAGACCTGCTTCATGTCAACCACCTCACCTCATCACTTCACCCTCTGAAACGGCTCCAGAATGTTCTAAACCTGTGGGGCCTCGGTTTTCATTCGTTGGGCTTCGGCCGCTAAGGCTTCGCACTTGGACTGCTCTTGACCTCAACCACTGCAACGATGTTGAAACTGGGTGGATTGAAATGCCCGGAGATTTAGGGGATACTGAGCAATTCATGGCCAAAATTTCCGGGGATCAACATGGCCAAATATCTTGAAACATTTGAAAGTTGTCACACTCTTTCCTCACGGATCCATGTTGGAAGCAATACTCAAGACTAAAAAAATGCTGTCTTGCTTCCACATGCCCTGCTCTTGAGCAATATTCACGATTTCCCGTACTTAGTCATCATTTACTCTGCTCCGCAATTGTGCCACTACATTGAAACCCCCAATGGACGAATTCATGAACCTCTGAGGTGGAAGCTCAAGACTTAGCAATCTGTGTGGAGGGTCCAGCTGTTCAATAGAAATCTGTCAACTTGAACAATAAATTGGCAACTAACTGACTTTGCCCACAAAATGACTCCTGGGTGTGGCACGTGCAGCCTCTCTCTCCACCGCAGCTGCACCAGAGGCAACAGTCACCTGCCAAGCGAATAGCCTGGAGATGCTTCTCCGGCACATGCGACCAGAGGATATCCTCCAAAGTACCAGTATCCACCCATATCCACCTGGTTTCACCCACCCATGGGTTTCACCTGCTTGATGAGCTCCTCGGTACTGATCTTTTTCTCATCCACCTGTCAAGGAGCCCAGTGAAGAAGCACAGAATGAAACTGGGAATCACAAATTGAAGATGTTTCCTCCTGAAAAGGGATGACACTTGGGGGAGAAACTGTTCATTGGGAATTCCATGGTTGCTGCTGCGATGCACCTGCTGCAGGGTGACCTGCAAGTCCTTCTTGAGATCTGCCACGCCTTCCTGTACCTAGTCGAAAATTTTGAGATCTACGCAGCCGTCGCGGGAAGCTTCAACAATCGAACTCAAAAAGGGATGAATGATAGCACAAAATCACAAAGGTAACGATATCATTTGCATATTTGCATTTCATTGTGACCCCCACCAGTCATGATCTTGACAAATCATGGGTCCAACCCCATTTTGGATATTTTGGGGCTCAATGTGATTTTTTCAAGGCGTCAATCTCTGCCCAGTGACATAAATCATCAACCCATCCCTTGGTGAGGCGCTGGGGCCAAGTGGCATCGTGCATGATGGCAAGCCCTCGCTCCAGGCGCGAGACGTTCCACTCCACAGAGCTCTGTTTATCGGTCAACATGCGCACCTCGACAGCAAAACTCCGTGGGTGATAGAAAGGGATTTGAGCGAATAACGATGATGCATATAAGACATATAAGACATATAAGGCATATAAGGCATATAAGGCATATGTGTGGCATATGTGTGGCATGTACAACCGAATTTGGTACGGTCAGTGATCGGTGAGAAAACGCTCCGAGGGGCGTAGAAACTGATGAGTTCCAGGAAGGACTTGGGCGTCGTGGAGTTCACCCTGCGTTCTTCCTCCAGGTAGCGTCGGTTGGCCTCGGTGATACCGTAGTGAGGCTTAGATGGGCTTAGTAAATTTCATGTCACAATGGAGATTTATGGAGATTTATGGAGATTTATGGAGATTTATGGAGATTTACCAATTATTGCCATGTTTACAGGAGGATGCCAGGGGATACGGAATATGCCGATATGAAATAAATACAAGTGTTTCAATTCAGAGTTTAAAAGCCAGAAACTCACAAAACTGAAACTGGATCAATATACTTTTTTACATGTAAAAATCTGTAAAAACAAAGTTTTTTTCCAGACGTTCCCCAGCATCTTCCGGCACCTTGTAGACCGACACGTGGACTTCCGCAGAATGTTGGGCGATGTTGGCCAACACCTCCTAGTGGGATGGCACTGATGGCACGGATGGCACTGCTAATCATAAACTGCTTGTAATCTGCTTGACAGCACCAACCTTTTGCCATCTTCACTGGGAAACATTGGGAAACTCATGTATAAATGGGCTTCAATGGTGGAACTCGGTCGAAAATGGTTTTTCAAATCCAGCTTGAAGGCTCCCTGTTTGCTTCCTTGGAAGGCCAACTACCACTGTGAACTAGGACCTCACAAACGATCGCTTGAAAAAGGCTTGGTGCAGCATCAACTCTGGTTGTGGTTCTGAGGTTCTCATCCCCATCCCACCACTCCCACCCTTGTCCCAGTCCATTCAAACCCCATCAAATGCCCACATCCCACATATAATCCCGCATAATCCAGCATGATGAGATACCTACATTCCTACATCTGATTACCATATCATGCACCCATCTATCATCATCTAATACCATTAATATCATCATCATCTACCATCATCAATGTTTCATCCTCGTTGGGGATGTTTTTCTCCAGCACCACCATGAAGCGTTCAGCCACGTCGATCAAGGCATCTCTGGGCCAAGGGTGGAAGACATCCAGCACCATGCAACTGATCAGCGCCTCGGGCGCCACTGATTCTACCAGTTGGGTAGGATCCACTGGTTGAATCTGGTGGGGAAGATGAGTTTTTTCTCGGAAAATCACAATATTTGGGGCATCCGATGTTCAAGCAATGCTTCCCTCAACTGGTCCAAAGTCTGAACTGCAGATCCCACTGAGACCCGAGCGGGGAACTTCCTTCCACGGATGCGGAACGTGGAACCCACCGGCGAATGGCACAGAATCAAATGCAGGTTTGAACCTGCGGCCCATCAGCACCATGTTTGTGCTTCAAAGGAGAGAAGAACCTGGGTTCCTTTCACTTACCATTTTGATGACCAGAATTGTAGATATTCATTAGGCTCAAATCACAGGTATGAAGTGAGAAAGGCAGGAAAAATGAGTAGAATAGTAGGATAGCTTACAACTTGTTGTTTGAATAGTTGAATTCTGGCACCTTCGACCTCACATCAACATAGTTTCCTCAAAAATCCAGAAATTCTTCTCTGGGAGGCCCCACGGACTTTATCCAAGAAGAATTGGAAGAGCGACCTTAGTCGCTGATCAAGACCCAGCTGTGCAAATTGGCAGATCAAAACTGAGCCACCGGGCGAAATCACAGACAGCAGTAACTGTTGTTCAACCCGAAATCACTAGATAGGAACATCCCCATATGGCATGAAAACTGTGGCATGACCCATCCCCATGACTGTGATTGTCTACCACTAAGCAAGCGACTCGCGATCATCAGCGTAGTTGGCGAACTTTGCGGCATTTCGGATGGCTGAGAACATGTTGTCGTATTCCTGTCACAGGTCCCATCTGCAGATCTGCAACTCTGAGGAATGTCAATGATCAAACAGATCTACAAAAATCCTTCAAAAAAAGGCGGCTGACTCCCGCAACAAAAGTCATCCCATGCTCAAGCCTCCCGTGCGAAGAGGTCTGGAATGTTGCCGCTGGATAGGAAATCCTGGGTTTGGTTTTGTCCAACATTTTCCCCAAACCGATCATTTTAGTGAGGAAAATGATTACCAACCTTAAGATTTTGGGGTATTATTAGGCTGTCTTATGTCGCTGCACGCTCCCCCCTTTTTCGGTCAAGCACAAGAAGGTTTATAGTGCTTACAGAAACAGTAAGCGCCTTCTGATAGAAAAGGTTCCATTGAACCGTGGACATCAGCCCTCTGGCTGTGCCGACCCTTTGGTCTTTAATGGATCCTATGATCCGGCCCTTGAGCACGCAAGGCACGTGCTGGCCTGACAAGGCAATTGGCATGCCAAAAAAGGAACATCTTCCAAACCCAGCGCAAGCGCACGGGTGGGAAGGGAAGGGAGCCTGAAACTGCAGCGTGGATCGACCTCAGTCCAGCCTAAAATTCGACAACTATCGAAAACCTAGGCTGTCTTATGTCGCTGCACGCTCCCCCCTTTTTCGGTCAAGCACAAGAAGGTTTACAGTGCTTACAGAGACAGTAAGCGCCTTCTGATAGAAAAGGTTCCATTGAACCGTGGACATCAGCCCTCTGGCTGTGCCGACCCTTTGGTCTTTAATGGATCCTATGATCCGGCCCTTGAGCACGCAAGGCACGTGCTGGCCTGACAAGGCAATTGGCATGCCAAAAAAGGAACATCTTCCACGACCCCTAGCATGCCTCTAAGGAGGCGTTAAGGAAGCATCTGAGCGGGGATACCCTGATTGTAGGTGGAAATTAAGGACTGGGATCGCCGGGACAACTGTAGTTGAGAAAGTTCTGCCTGGCCTGCTTCGATGTAGATCCTGGCAACGGATAGAGCCCTCCACCTGCCACGGAGTAATATGCTCTCGAGGCTTTGAGAAATCTGAAAGCTGTGCGTTGCTCCGCCACGCCTGATACTGTACGGGGCAAAGTTGAGGTCGTCCAGCTGAAAGAAATGAATTGCTTCATAGAAAAGCTTCCTGAAGGAAGCAGCGCTGCGGTTCCAGACGAAATCGCTTGGAGCCAGCGCACGGGCCATGTGACACAATTCCCATAGCCGGAGGAGGGTAAAATCATAGACAGCAACGGACTCATCAATGTTAAATCGTAAGCCTGACTTGCTGCTACGAATGGTGACCACTCCGTGATGGGAGGATAGGACCACATCTCGGACCTGCAACTTGAGCATCTCCCCAGTCCTGAGGTAGGTGTGGAAACCCAGCGCAAGGAGGAAAGCCATTTCCGGCTCGGAACGGTCAAGGCAAAAGCTGACCAGAGCCCTGCAGATCCGTCGCGGAAGGGGAGGGGCCCGCTGGGGGACCTCAATGCGGCGCCAATTTCGGTACAACTTCCAAGCACCTCTCAGTTGCCCCTTGACTTGAGGCCAGTAGAAGTGAACCGCGCAAAGTGCGTCGCCAATGAGGCCCAGGGGGGTTCCAGCGGCCCACTGGCATTCAACCCACTCCTCACACAAGGGATCAAGATCCTCCAGGCATTGGGCTTCCTCCAGCGCCGGTAAAAGAGTGGCCAGTGTTCAGTTTTGATGCTAATACCGATGCCGCGGAGGGAAATTCCTTGTCGCGTGGCCAATCGCTCAGCCAGCGACTTTCCCTTACGGATCGGCAGTCGCACGGCTCGCGGCATCCGTCGGATTTTCCGCGGAATCCACGTGTCCTTGCATTTGCAAGGAGTTGAGAGCCAAGAGATGCGCTGCGATTTCACGTGTGACCGGCTGTAAAAGCTGGCTGGAGGTTCGTCCCTTACTTAGGATGTAGTTTGAAACCATGCTATCAGAAAGGTGTAACCATCGGCTGTTACATGCACTGGATTTTCGGGCTCGCCATTGAATACTCTGCAGAATCATTTTCATCTCGAGGAAATTTATATGACTGGAGAATTTCCATTTAGTTGTGAAGAGCATTTTCCAGGTCCACCAATCCGCACGTAAAGTGACATGGTTAGAGACTTTAGGGGAAAACGGGGTTCCTAAAGAGAGGCAGACGTCCGACCCTGTGTGATTAACATGTCTTGATAAGTGGGCTACCAAATCTTGAGTGCGAGGGGAGTTTGATCCTGTTGGCCCATAACAGAGTGCCCGCTGAATTGGTGCCTCCAGGTGGACCGCCAATCCGCACCCCGGAGCCAGCCCCATTCTTCTGATGATTTCAGTCGGGGAACGCGGCCGCACCCAGTGCTTACAGAGCTGACTAATGACCCAGCCAAAAGACAGCATGGAGAAAGAGTCACCACAGAGGGACAGCTTTTTATCCACAAAGGCAACTCCTGCTGTCTTGGCCAAGCTTGCAGACATCGCAAAGTGCGTGTGCTGATAACCGAAACCCAAAAGCAATTCCCGTTCACTAGCGGATAGGTAGCGCACTTCGCCATCCATGTTCTGAAGCAAGTTCTCCAGCCGATATTGATATGGGGGGAATCGGAACTCGTCAGATTCCCACCGTTGAATACAGTTGCGGTCGCATCTATTCAGTCCGGCAGGCTTGGCGGGTGGTCGTCGCCTAGGGATGGATTTCATGAAAGTGGACAGCGCACTGGAACTGTCAAAACGGAACCACCCTGGCTCAATCCACTGTTCGTCAGTGATCGGGCTTCCTTTCATGTGGACTCGGATGAACCCTTCCATCCTCTCAAAACTGATTCCTTCTGTTTCTACCAGCTCCTGCGAGGTCCAGGCCAGACGTGGCCGATAGGGAAGGATATCGGAGGGGCAGAGCGCATAGGGCTCGACGCCCAGCTCCCTGGAGATCTCGGCCCGGGCCGATGCATCCATGCTGAGCACGTTCTCAACCAGAAAGTCCACTCGGGCGGTGTGCCCAAAAGCGTCCTCTACCCAGGTTATGAGTTTCTTGAGGTTGTAAAATAGCCTGGAGCCTTCTCCTTCCAAGTTCTCTCTTCCGGCTCGAGCTGAGGAAAGATGAACACATGGGAAGCCTCCAATCACTTGCACGTGGGTTACCCGAGGGAACAGGTTTGCCCACTGCATCACCTGCCGTTTTTCAATGCTCTCGATATCTCCGATTTCGATGACCTGGCTATTAGACCAGCGGGTTTAACCCCCGCCAGGTCAAAGCCACGGAATGCCCCGCCGATCCCATTGAAGGCTGAGATCACCAATAGATCCACGTGCAGGGGTTCAGCTGTACCTGACCCCAAACGGTGGGCTAACTGCTGGCCAGCGCTGCCAAGCGCCTCGGCCGTTGCGACCGCCCCCCCGTAAAGGGAAGCGTCAGAGCAAGTCACCACGGGTGAGAAAGTCATCCGGAGATCCGCATGGATTAAGGGTACTAGGCAGACCAGCATGCCAAGCTCACGCTGCACGACTGGCCACCATCGCCTGCGGTCTTGCCCGGTTTTAGTGTAGTTCCAGCTCTGGCTGAGAATCGCCATGGCTGGGCGCCTGTACTGGAGGACGAAGATCCAGCGCCCCAAGATGATCTGAACCCACTTAACTTTCGGCAGCTTGTGCCCGATAAGGATCAGTGTAGCACAGAGGAGCTTGTGCAGTCTCAGAGGTCCACCTCCCACGAGACCCAGCTCCCCCTGGATATTGACTCCCAATTCGGTGGCGTCCTGACTCGCCAATATGTGCTTATCTTCTGCACAGAGTACCCCGTGCGAAGCCCAAGACGCACACACCTCATTGTGCATTTGTTCTGAAAAGCCACTGCTGTTTCCTTTGATCATGACCTCTCCGGCCATGAAGTTGTCGAGATATACCTGCCAGAAGTGTTCTGTTCCACTTCGCAGTAAAGTGTCCACAAACCACCGGGGGGCTAGAGTTTGCCTCCGCAGCTCCGCGCTGGTCAAGTAATCCCTCCTTCGCACCAGCTCCCGCGAAGCCATTTGCATCAGGCCGACCGAGCTTGACCATCCCATGGGCAAAACCTTGCAGGCCGGAACGAAAACCTCTGTTGTCGGCAGCCCCACTGCATCACCTGTGAACTTGGCGTTAAAGCATAGGTACTTTGTCCATTGCGGGGGCAGTTTGAATAGGTAGAAAGCCGACGACATGTCTGCCTGGCTATAACTTCAATGGTCTCGTCTTCTTCGAGCACCAACTGCCCCCATGTGGTCGCTGATGGAAGTTCTCCTATGTCACCTTGAATGATGCCCATGGGCCGATTAATCGGCTTCAGGTTCATGATAACCCGGAGCAAGGGCTCCCCACGGGCCGAGAACCGGCCTGCCTTGGGCACCCCGAACATCCCGATAAAAACGGGCCACCATTGTCCTGGTGGACATCCTTGACATTGACCCACTCAATTATGCCACGTTCCTCAAGCAACTTCCAGACCTTTAACTCTTCGCCTGCTGCGATATGGACTCGTCCTCTGTTGGGCCCTGGTTCACGTTCATCCTGCTCTAGGAGTATCATTTCCGGATGTTGAATGAGATACTTTGCTCGTCCCACTAGCAAGGGCTCTAGGTCCACTGATCCGCCATGCCCAAGAGGGGGAAGGCTTTTCTCAATCTGTTCCACTGTGAGCGGGACAGGATCAACAAATTCCTCTCCTTCATAAGAAATCCGTTTAGAAAGAACATCTTCCCACAAAGCCCCAGGGCAAACAACCTCGGGTTTAAAAAGGGAAAGGAACCGGGTTATCCCACCCCTAAGGTTTTCCAACACCACTCTTACCTGATCCCCCTGGCGCTTCTGCGGTGCACCTTTTTTGCAGCCGGACAACTGGTTCAGTGCGAAGCATATTAAAGTTTCCCACGCCTGCACAGGGCACTCACGGGCATCTCCCGAGTGTGGCCCCCGGCTCCAGTTAACCGGGATAGGAAACAGTCCACGGTGTCTGCCAAAAACATCTACAGATGTGTTGTGCCTGACCTGTTCAAAAAGACCTTCCATTCCGACAGGAAAATGCCCGCGGACTATCCCCTCAACCAGTGAAACACCTATAGTTCCTCCGGCGTAGCGAAGGTAGCCACCTTCGAATTTGAAAAATGGCGCCCGGGTTCCGGCTGTGGTGACCCAGCGCGAGTAACCTCCTTCGAGATCACTTCATCAGTATCCCCCGGGGGAAGATAAGGGTCCTCCAGGACCCCCTCGCTCCCGCCGTCCGTGTCTTCGCACATGACAGCTGGGATCAAAACTGCGAATGTGGCCCAAAAGCCATCGCCATCATTGCTCACCCCACCAGCGCTAGCGCACGGTGAGGCCCCGCAGTCGGGAGCTATTTGTCCGCGCCGCCTCCTCCGGCGGGGGTCTCCTTCGCGGCGTCCCGGCCGGTGTTGGCAAACGGAGCCCTCCAGGCCCCTGCGCCCTTGCGACCGCCTTTGCCTTTTTTGCCCTTTCCGGCGCCTCCTCCTTTCTCGTCGCCCTGAGGAGCTCCTCCGTTCTGAGCGCCGCCGCCGCTCCCGCCACTGTATGGGTTCCGCTTCCACGGTGTGCGGCCTGCTGCCTTCTCGACCTGTCGGGCATGCTTCTGAGCCTGTAGAAGGACAGCGGGGCCGGCAAGCCCGGCGTGGCGAGTTGGAATGACTTCCAAATGTTGAGCGTCCTGCCAGTTGTTTGTCAGGGCGGCGCTCTCCACGGCTAGGAACCGCCCAGCCAGCGAGTCCCCTAACTCGGGGAGGCGCCCGGCCTTCAGGAGGTCGACGCACCGCGCTAGTGTCTCTAGCTCCCGGGCGTCCCTGATCTTCCCATGGAGCTGGGGGCGCGCGACGATCTGGAAATAGCTGGACATCTTGTTCCCTCACATCAGGGATTCCCCATTGGGATCGTCCAGGACTGCTGCTTCCGCCAGAGCCTCGCTCACGTTGGTAAGCAACATCCGGAGCACAGATCCGGGCTCTCTGGCCGCCTTCTTCTGTAAAGGCGGTACCAAACTGTCCGAGCTTGAGGCCTCGCTCGAGCCACGGCTGTCGCTCCCACTTCTGCTGTCCCGTCGTCTCCCACTTCTGCGTCGGGATCTCCTCCTCCGAGAGCGACTCCTCGACCTGCGACGATCCCTCCTGCGAGTCTGATCGTCTCGACCCGACATATCTCGCTGCGCCACGGCTTGTGCCAGCGCTGCCCGCATTGATCGGGATTTCCGTGGTCGATCCGGTCGCTGCGAGTCCGAACTGATCTCCTCCACGGGTTCCGTCTTGACGAGATTCGCGCCTTCTCTTCGGCTTATCCCTGGTGGGGCGTCTCGCAGGGCTGGCGTGGCTGCGGGCGCTACCACTTCCTCTTCCAGCCCCTGCGGGAGCCCTCTGCTGTAAGCGGGATCTCAGTGCGGAGATCCGATCGGGCGGCGATGGCGGAAACGTAGGGACCGAAGTGACTGGGCCGCCTTTGCCTCGACCTGCCGGCACCTGGCCCTTGATCTGGGCGTGCCATCTCGCCCATTCCCTGCGCTTGGGTTTTGCCACATAATCTGGGGGTTGAGCTCCCAGAGGGAAGACCGCAAGCACGTCTACGTGCCATAGCTTGTCTCCTGGAAGTGAGCAATTCACAAGCTGCTTCCTTTCGCGTGAGAAGGTTTTTACACCCCCTTCTCTGGCCCATTCGTGCGCTCCGCCCAGGAACTTCACGGGTAGCACCAGGCCATGCTCCTCCATTCCAACTTCTGTTACAAAAACCGCAAAGCGACTTTCCTCCTCCTGCCCATCGGCGTTTTGCCTGGTTGTGGGGATTTCTAGAATTGACCCCGGCTCGACGGGACAATCCTTCCAAAATTGTGGGTCGCGGTGTAGCCTGTATCACCACACCTGACCCATCCGGTGCATCGCCAATCCCAGCGCCAGCGCCCGGGACTTCCGGCCATGGTGGGGCTTCTTCGAGTCCCACGTCAGCCATCACTTGTAATAGTGCCACCCTCGGGAGTTTCCCCCCAAGTTGATAGGCTCCGGCTGGTACCGGCGGTGAAAGCGCTGATCAGGCGCGTCCAACCCCCGGAAGTGCTGTTGATGCTTCTTTCCTCCGCGCCTTCCCCGGCTGCGGCTACGATGTCTTCTTTTCTTCTTCGGGGGCTCAGCCCGAGGAAGAGGTGGCCTAGAGGGTGAGCGTGGTGCCACCGTGCCTCTCGTGTCACCTTCCTCCACCTCTGCCCGATCACGAACGGGCTCCTCTTCCTCGCTTTCCTCCTCAAAGGACTCGGACCCAAAGTCGGGTTCTTCGGCTGCGGCTGCGCTTGCAGGTGGGCGAGTGTCCGCCGGGGCCTCACGGCCAGCGTTTCGTTCCACCGCTTCGGCTTTCACCGGAGCCGCCTGTCCTGGGCTAGCAGCGACTGGGCGCACGCCAGCACTCTTGGGGGCTGCAGACTTGTCCACCTGGTTGGTGACCTCGGCCAGTTTACCCTTGGCGTTCTTGAGCCGGTCGTTCAGCGAAGTCCTCTCGGAATCCACCTGGCGGCCCAACTGGATCAGAGCACGGACCTGCCGGGACGCTTGGACCGATACTTCCTCGGCCAAAGCTCGATGTGCCAAGGAGCTAAACCGGTGTTTGCTCGCCTCGCTCAGCGCAGTGGCGCTCGAGCAGAGGGCACACCAGCTGTCGCCCTCAGCAGCAAGGCCGCTCTTGCACTTCTTGCAAAGAGCCCCACTGCTTGGCATCACGAGCTAGGCCTTTGAGCCTGAAACTGCAGCGTGGATCGACCTCAGTCCAGCCTAAAATTCGACAACTATCGAAAACCTATGTATTATTGGTACTATATTCTCGGACAAATCCACTAGACGATTGGTGTGGCCCTCAGTGCGCCTTACTTTTGGTGTGGAAATCGTCTGCACCTCTCATGTTCTGTCTGATGTTTGGGATATCATTTGCATTCCAAACATCAAGTAGCGAGAAGCAGAGTTTTATCTCCATGTTCCCCACCAAAAAGCGTGTTACAATTTGGCTATTCATCACAATGTGACAACTAGTTGCAAGATGTTGCAAAAGTATTCAACCCGTCCAAGTGTCATTGATGAAGACCAGGAAGCGCTCGTCTGTGATCTGACTATCGGTCAACAGGAATGCCTGCTCCAGCTGGCACCACCGATGCCGCACCGTATCAGGTTGCAAAAACTGCAGCATCAACCCCGCGAACCCCACCTGTGGTAGAGCTGGCTTCACAGCAGCCTTCTTGTAGAACTCCTGGGCTTTCTACCCAGCTGATACACTACCCAACCAACGCAAGGGTGCTGTCAGACGGGAGGGGAAAAAAACAACGTGCAACATCGTGCAACTTGCAACCATATTTAACTTGCACTGTGTTTGCCCTATCCAGATTTATAGCTATTCCATGCTATTCCATGCTATTCCAAGCCCATTTACAACTGGGATCAGGACCTCTACCAGGCACTCCACCAGCCACCATTGGCTCCTGGAGGTCAAACTTCAACTCATTGAGGCCATAGGTGTGGTTTACGAGGATAGTTTGCACCTCCTGCGCAAACCGAAACCTCTGATGATCCACTGATGCAACGGCACAAAGGTTGCCAGATACTTTGTGATACTTTGATACTTCCATTTAAGTGACAAGGATGCGCGCAAGTTGTACAATCGAAACTGGATACTTCCCATTTTACAAACTGCATATCCATCATGTAATTATCGGTAAAGTCAAAGGTATAGTTCGTTGAACCATCTCCAACTTGCAGCAGAACAAAACTCTCTATCGCCAATCGCAAACATCAAAACAACATGTTCGGTGATGCGTTTGACAAATTAACCCTCAACTTCAGTAAGCTTCCCTGCAGTTCGTCTATCAACATGATCTTTTGGCGGTCCACAACCACGATTTCATGACGAGTCTGAGAAGCTCCCTAAAATGGGGAAGATTGTCACATGTTGGAGTATGGATTTGTTCAACCCTCATTTATCGAGCTTCAATCATTTTCAGTCACACTTTGTCGTTGCTAATTAAAAGCTCATTGCTTGTCAAATCCCCTTGACTCAACCGAAAATCCGTTGTTTGGTTCTGAAACATTCTGACAACGACAACGAACAAAGCGCGTCCTGTCCGTTGATGAAGCTGCTGAGCCTCGCTAAGGATTGCTTCCCCGAGCCGCCCACACCCACTAGCAGCGCAGAACCACAGGGGTTGGCGGTGATGCGACAGATGCCTTGGCGGCTTGATTCAATTCGCTGGGTACATGATCCACATACATAAGACTATTAAAACTAAGGTGTGTATGGAAAAGGATGGAAAAAGTATATGTGAAAAATTGTGAAAATTACAATATTATATAATATATATATATATATACGAACAAGTGTTGAATCAATGAATGTATGGTGTGCGGTGATTGATGTCAACTGGCAGTGTATGATACATCTGGGAAATCTCCATGTGGAGGTGCCTCTCTTTGGGTTTATGGATGTTCAGTCAGGCATTCATGTGGTTCACAGATGTCTTTGGATGAACCACGGTAGCTCTGAACAAGACAAGGTGCGACAGACATGGAAAACCGCATCATCGAAAAGAACCAGATTCATGGTAGCGTGCTCGTTGTTGTAGGCCACCAATCTTGCCTGTTGCATGTTGGACAAGCATAGGGTCCCGTTGTTGTTTCCCCTTTAGCCAGGGAAGCCCAACAAGATCTTAATAATGAAGGGACATGCAGATTGCTGCACGCATGCAGGGGGAAACAACTCTGAGCAGCTGTATGATACTAAATGGTACTTCCGACCATCCAATTCTTTCCGTGTAGATGATATCAATGATCCAAACAATATTCAAAATGAATCAAATGAATCAAATGAATCATTGCCACAGGAGTTTCGGACTGGAGTCATAACACCGCCATGTGATGGCCATTTGATGGCGCCTCGACCACATCTCGAATCTGCTGCATGTCGCGCGCGGGCAAATAGAACCTCTCTCCGCCGGAGGCCTTGCAGCGGTTGATGCAGTGATGCAGTGATGCGCAGCAGCGCAGCCCACAGGTTTTCATGCGCCATATGGCTGCGTCCAAAAATGTGGCAGGGATATAACGGGATATACGCCTAGAATTTGATGCTTGGGAAGCATTTTCTCAATTAAAATTAACATTGAAATTTTGTGGTATACTAGCTGTAATAGCCCAAGATGGAAAGATCGGAAAGGGTTTGAAATCATTTTTAAAACATTATCAGCTGTGTCCTCTCCCCAGACATTGTTTTTTTTTGCTGCTTTGGAAATCATCAAGATGGATTCTAACATGAATTCGCCAAGAGGCTTCACACCCGGTGGCACTGACATGCAACATCATCGAATAAATGCACCACGTCTCACAACCAGCATCAACCCTGCATCAACCCTCAGCTGTCGTCTTCATTAGCTTCGCCAAGGGAATTGATGAATGGATGGCTTGATGGGCTCCCCAGCATCCCATTCTACAGATTGGTGGTGGCCTTTATTTTACTTGATCATTCCTAGTTTTGCTATCTTCCTGCATGTTGCTTCAAGGAGTGTATTCTATCAATATTCATAGCTGATTCCTACCTCATTCAAAGGCCCCCTGGCCCTATTCAAAGGGATGCTATTCAGCTTTGCAAAGGTCAGAAGCAATTTGGCTACGAACAAGCAACAAAATGCATTGAGGTAGCCCAAAATGGAAAATATTGGTCATATTTTAATTTAAAATAAATAAAAAAAATAAAATAAAAATTAAAAAAAATAGAAAAAAATAAAAATAATAATAATAAAATAATAATAAATATTTTTTCATAATTTTTTTTGGGCCGATTTTTTGCTTCCAATACTACTTTTAGAAGGGGGCAGGGCACCCTTCTGCGCAACGACCTTGTCCCACACCTCACAACGCAGAAAAAATATTTTTTCATAGGAAAAAATATTTTTTCATAGAAAAAATTGGGCCCAATTCCATCGATTTTAAAATATCATAAAACAAGATAAATTAAGATAATTTGGCAAAAAAGAATCTGATTAGCCCCATTCATGATTCTTTTGGAAAGACTACCAGAGATGGAGAAAGACTACCCCAATTCATCCATCAGATCCCATCCCAAAAATCATCGGCACCTCCGCGATGAAGGACGTACAGCACAGCGGTTGCGCAAACAGTTCCTCGCGATTTGAAGCCGCGCCAACTCCCACGAAGCTTCGCGACACCGCCTGGCCATGATCTCGGCAAACGGTGGTTGGGAGATTCCATTGACTTTTGGGAGTAAAATCACGAAATCATGCAGGTTCTCAGGTTGTCCATCACGAACATTGGTTGCAAGGTATAGCATCCGCCAGTTGTGGCAAGCAAACCTAAACGATTGAAATAGCAAACTGTGACACTACTTTGCTACCAAACCCTTATCCAATACACACATCTCGTGCGTACAGAGTGGCACATGCCGCAGTCGGAAAATGGATGTATGCTTCGCAAGTAACGCCGGACTGGAAACGGAATCAATACCCAACTTTCGCATCCCAAGGTGAATTGAAAGACGCTCCATTCCGTTATTTCCCCATTGATTCCAGATTCACTTCCCCAATTGATTTCGCATGTTTTTTTCCTATCTTCTATTCTGCCTTCCGTTTCTTGAATTCCCTATTCAAAAATTGTACATTCCCACCGAACCAAAGGTTTGAATTCTCGTTTCGTTCGCTCAACCACGCCTTCTCAATCATCGTCTGAAGCTCCTGTGAACGAAGATTGGTGGATCACCGACCCAAAATGATGGGGCTCCAATTGCATCAATTGTCCGTTTGTCCGTTTATCCGTTTGTTTGTTTGTTTGTTTGGTTGGTTGGTTAGTTGGTTGGTTGGTTGTTTGGTTGGTTGTTTGTTTGTTTGTTTGTCTTCTTTGTCTTGTTTGTTTGTTTGTTTGTTTGTTTGGTTGGTTGGTTGGTTGGTTGGTTGGTTGGTTGGTTGGTTGGTTGTTTGTTTGGTTGGTTGGTTGGTTGGTTGGTTGTTTGTTTGTGTGTGTGTGTGTTTGTTTGTTTGTTCGTTCGTTCGTTCGTTCGTTCATTCGTTCGTTCGTTCGTTCGTTCGTTCCTTCGTTCGTTCGTTCGTTTGTTTGTTTGTTTGTCTGTTTATCCGTTTGTTTGTTTGGTTGTTTGTTTGTTATTTTTGTCTTGTTTATCGGTTTGTATATTTGTTTGTTTGTTTGTTTGTTTGTTTGGTTGGTTGGTTGGTTGGTTGTTTGGTGGGTTGGTTGTTTGTTTGTTTGCGTGTTTGTCTTCTTTGTCGTGCTTGTTTGTTTGTTTGTTTGTTTGTCTGTTTGTCTGTTTGTTTGTTTGATTGTTTGTTTCTTTGTTTCTTTGTTTCTTTGTTGCTTTGTTTCTGTGTTTCTTTGTTTCTTTGTTTCTTTGTTTCTTTGTTTCTTCGTTCCTTTGTTTCTTTGTTTGTTTCGTGTTTCTTTGTTTCTTTCTTTGTTTTTTTGGTTGGTTGTTTGCTTGTTTGTTTGTTTGGTTAGTTGTTTGTTTATACGTTTGTTTATTTGGTTGTTTGGTTGTTTGTTTGTTTGTTTTGTCTTGTTTATCCGTTTGTATATTTGTTTGTTTGTTTGTTTGGTTGGTTGGTTGTTTGTTTGTTTGAAAGTTTTTTGTTTGTTTGTTTGTTTGGTTGGTTGGTTGGTTGTTTGTTTGTTTGGTTGGTTGGTTGTTTGTTTGTGTGTGTGTTTGTTTGTTTGTTTGTTTGTTCGTTCGTTCGTTCGTTCGTTCGTTCCTTCGTTCGTTCGTTCGTTCGTTTGTTTGTTTGTTTGTCTGTTTATCCGTTTGTTTGTTTGGCTGTTTGTTTGTTATTTTTGTCTTGTTTATCGGTTTGTTTGTTTGTTTGGTTGGTTGGTTGGTTGGTTGGTTGTTTGGTGGGTTGGTTGTTTGTTTGTTTGCGTGTTTGTCTTCTTTGTCGTGCTTGTTTGTTTGTTTGTTTGTCTGTTTGTCTGTTTGTTTGTTTGATTGTTTGTTTCTTTGTTTCTTTGTTTCTTTGTTGCTTTGTTTCTGTGTTTCTTTGTTTCTTTGTTTCTTTGTTTCTTTGTTTCTTCGTTTCTTTGTTGATTTGTTTGTTTCGTGTTTCTTTGTTTCTTTCTTTGTTTGTTTGGTTGGTTGTTTGCTTGTTTGTTTGTTTGGTTAGTTGTTTGTTTATACGTTTGTTTGTTTGGTTGTTTGGTTGTTTGTTTTGTCTTGTTTATCCGTTTGTATATTTGTTTGTTTGTTTGGTTGGTTGTTTGTTTGTTTGTTTGAAAGTTTTTTGTTTGTTTGTTTGTTTGTTTGTTTGCTTGTTTGTTTGTTTGTTTGGTTGGTTGTTTGTTTGTGTGTTTGTTTGTTTGTGTGTTTGTTTGTTTGTTTGTTTGTTTGTTGGTTTGTTGGTTTGTTGGTTTGTTGGTTTGTTGGTTTGTTGGTTTGTTGGTTTGTTGGTTTGTTGGTTTGTTGGTTTGCTGGTTTGTTGGTTTGTTGGTTTGTTGGTTTGTTGGTTTGTTGGTTTGTTGGTTTGTTGGTTGGTTGGTTGGTTGGCTTGTTGGTTTGTTTGAAAGTTTGAAAGTTTGAAAGTTTGTTTGCTTGTTTGTTTGTTTGCTTGCTTGTTTGCTTGCTTGTTTGTTTGTTTGTCTTTTTTGTTTGTTTGGTTGGTTGTTTGTTTTCTTTGTCTTGTTTTTCAGTTTGTTTATTTGTTTGTTTGTTTGTTTGTTTGCTTGTTTGCTTGTTTGTTTGTCCTTTTTTCCTTGTGTGTTTGTTTGGTTGGTTGTTTGTTTCTTTGCTTGTTTGGTTGTTTGTTTGTTTGGTTGTTTGTTTGTTTTCTTTGTCGTGTTTATCCGTTTGTATATTTGTTTGTTTGATTGTTTGTTTGTTTGGTTGGTTGGTTGGTTGGTGTTTGTTTGTTTGTTTGCTTGTTTGTTTGTTTTCTTGTTTGTTTGTTTGTCTTCTTTGTCTTGTTTGTTTGCTTGTTTGGTTGGTTGTTTGCTTGTTTGGTTGTTTGGTTGTTTGTGTGTTTGCTTGTTTGTTTGTTTTCTTTGTCTTGTTTATCCGTTTGTATATTTGTTTGTTTGTTTGGTTGGTTGGTTGTTTGATTGTTTGCTTGTTTGCTTGTCTTCTTTGTCTTGTTTGTTTGTTGGTTTGTTTGTTTGTTTGGTTGTTTGTTTGTTTGTTTTCTTTGTCTTGTTTATCCGTTTGTATATTTGTTTGCTTGTTTGTTTGGAAGGTTGCTTGTTTGTTGAATTATGTGTTTGTTTGTCTGCTTGTTTGTTTGTCTTCTTTGTCTTGTGCGAATCGGTGATTATCTGTCCGATTATGTCCTGATAGTCAATGTCAAAGTGGATGTTCCAGTGATGACGTTACAAGGGCATCAGCTTCCGCATTGCAATTGTTTTCTCTGTCGCTGCAGTGGGTCTTGAGCCAAAGAGGTCGGTTTCATGTACCCCTTCGGCGTTGGATCTTAGAGTGCCTAATTGTGATAATGTACACTGACCCGTAGCCTACGCTCTATTCGCACCCCCCACGCACAGCCAACTTTGTTGGCTGCGCGCAAAGGAGTGTCCTTTAAACTGATCCACTATACTCGCAGCTGTTCGTTTGTTGAATTATGGAGAGCTAAAGTCCGTTCAGAACTTCATATCTACACGGCGGCTTACTACAATCTCTACCAAAAGATAAAGGTTCTGTTCACGTGCGTGTAGACACGACGTAGTCGGTGTCTAGCATTGAGGTTCATCCAATGTGGCGTAGCCAACATGGAGTCTCACTCAAGCATGTGAATTAAAGAAATCAAAACACAAAGTTGACTATGGAACTAGAAGTTTACTTTCCCGTTCCTTCGTCGGTTGAGATGTAGACCGCTGTAGAAACTCAGCGTCTCATGCAATGATGTTCAAAAAAAATGTGTGGTTCTAAATTAGCCGGCTCAGAGTCCTCTCAGAAATCATTCAAAATGAAGTAGAGGTAAATCTCGAGCAATGATTGCACCCTCGCATCGCCAGGTTCAATCAGGACCTATGCAGAGGTCAGATCGCTTAATCATCTATATCCCCATCCATAGTATCCCTGTTGGTTCCAGTCTCCGCCACGGTGTGAATAAGATTTTCCACCTTTTCCTTGATCTTTTCCACCCTTCTTTGGCGGGGTCACCGGAGCTTGTTTTGGCGGAGGAGCGGTTTCAACTGTTCTCCATGTTGCTGATGATGATGCTTTCGCTTTTGACACTCTTCCCAGTGCTGGTGCTGCTTTCGGGGCTGCCTTTGACTTGCCAGCGGCTGGGTCAGTACGTTCACGATCAGCAGGAGTCGGGGTATCAGCAATCGCAAGTATGTGAGCTTCAGACAAGTGGATGCCCCACCTTGGTCGTTGATCTTCCCGTTGCTTAATGTGATTGTAGTCATCGATCGCATCATATAACTTTTGGAGTAGAGGTCTTGGCAATTGTCGGCCATTCTGAAGGATCAGGTGTAAAAGTGATATTCTTCGAAGTGGTGGACGAAGAGCACACACAATGTCAACTGGGTTCAGTGTGATTGTGTCTTGAAAGTCAACTTTCCTGAAGAAATAAACAGCATTTACCCTATATGCACCTGCAATGATTCTTCTGACCATGACGTCTTGTCGGTCGAGGGCGTCGCGGGCCGCTGTGGTCTTTCTCATCTCATCCATTGTGGTGTCACGTTTTGACAGCTTCTCCATCTCCTCATCAAAGAAAATGTTTTGCAAGTCTTCATACGTGTAGCCACATTCAAGGGTGTATACGAGAAGTCTTTTGAGTACCACTGCCCCATAGTATGCATTGACGAATCCCTCTTCTCCGATGTCGTCCTTTTGATTTGGTCGGCCGATCTCTTTGTAGAGCTCTTTCATCTGTTGTGCAGTTGGTTCAATGAGTTCACCATTTTCATCCTCGCCCAGGTAAGGTGTTCTTGAGTCCAGGTCCATCCTGAATTTCTGGTTCTGTTGAAAATGTTTCCATGCCGTCTCGATGTCTCCACAGAAGTTCCGTTGGAATAGTCTGTAGATTCTGACGATATGTAATCCAATCTGCAACAGGAGGATCTTGATGAATTCCGGCTGAGCATCTCCAATTGTGCAAGGTTCGATTGGTAGGACCTTTGATCCAAACTCAATACGCTGCATCCACTTGGGGTACTCAATCACTGCATCACGTGCTTCTCCAGCCTCGTACTCTTCAATGTTGATTTCATCGACCGCTATCTCATCATCGTCGTTCACATCGGTCGGTTTTCCTTCTTGATTGAGAAATTCGTCGACCTCATCTTGTTCTCTGAAGTCTCTTTTCTCATCATTGATGTCGCCCTTCTTCGAGGCTTGATCATCATCTCTTTCTTCTGGTTGAGTTTCTTGTTCTGGACTCTTCATGGTGACATCATCATCATCTGGCATCACCTCGTCGTCATCATCATCACCTGTCAAATCGATCTTCACCTCCTCCCATGCTTTCTTGACATGGTCTTTGAGATCTTCTTCTCGATGATGTGATTCGGCCTTTGGTACTGTCGCCACGGTGATTTTGATTCGTTTCCTCCATCCATGACTCACCAAAAATCCTTTGCACATCACACAAATCGATAATGGCGCAGGGGTCTCCATCAGACATGCGGGGCATAGTCGATGGTCCTCTTTGCTAGGATGATGAGTGACTGCCAATAATGAAATTGCATCATTCCAATCCGGATGTCCAGGGAACAATCTGTGAGTATGACTGAAGT